ATGTTTGTTGTTGATTTATTTCTAGCTATTTGAAGTTTATGGCGTCTTTCTTGAATGGAGGTCTTTTAATTCTTCTGTTGTATTTTGTTATGTATATTAGTTTCCTGTTGCTGGTTTGACAAATCAGTGCAAATTTAGTGGATTAAAACAACACAGATTGACTGTCGTTATAGTTTTGGAGGTCAGAAGTCTGAAGTCAGTCTCTGGATACTGGGCTGGTGTTCACAGGCCTGTGTTCCTTTTAGGGCTCCAGGGGAGAAGCCTTTTCCTTAGTGCTTCTGGTTTCCAGGGTCTGCCTACATTCCTGACTTGTAGCCCTGACTTCCATCTTTAAATCTCAGCCAGTGAACCTCTTCTTTGTCCTAAACCTTCCTGTGAGGATCCCTGTAATTACCTTGAGCCTATCTGGCTAATCCAAGGTAACCTCCTTATCTTAACCATCCCTACCCATCCTTCTGCCACATAAAGGTACAAATTTATAGGTTCCAGGGGCTGGGGATTCATTATTCAGACTTCCATTCTTGTTTTTGTGGGTATGTAGAAAATGATTTGGTTTTGTATGTTTCTTTGAGCGGGGTGTACTTGCCAAACTCCTATTATTTTGTATTTGTTTTTCAATTGTTTTCAAACGATTCCATGTTTAGTTTCCAGTTGATTCTCTTAGACTTACTGGCAGTGACATCATTTGTCCCTTTCTTTTTGGTATTTGTGGCTCAGTTTTCTTGCTACTTTTTCTACATTGCCTGGAATCTCCTGACTAATGCTAGATAACAGCTGAGACCAGGCATCCTTGAATTGTTCTTTCTCATTTTCTTTTTTTTTCTTTCTTTCTTTTTTTTTTTTTTTTAAATGGAATAAGGCTAAACAAGAGAAAGTCCTGTCCTTTAAGGTCCAGGTTTATACTTTGGTAATTAAACCTTATATCAAATGTGCATAGTATGGATGATTTCTTTATCACATATTCTAACGTGCATTATTCTTAACTGTATAAGAAATTGCTTCATTATTTTACCACTGAGTATGGGAATTTCTAATAAACATTATTAAATTAGGGAGTTTCTATCAAATCAAGTCCAAGTTAATTGAGATTTTAAATCAGGAATGTATTAACCCTTATGATTATAAAAGTAACCATATGGTTTCTTTTTGCCTATTAATAGCTTTTCCAATAATGTTCCCTTTGTGTTCTGGGAATAAGTCTTCCTTGGTCATGGAACATTGTTCTTTGAAAAGACTGCTGACTTCCCTTTGCTCATATTTTGTTTTGGATTTTTGTATCTATATTGACAAGTGAATCTGGTATAGTGAGTTCAGTGATTGGTGTGCTATTCTGTACCTCTTGGGCATTGTGAATGATCTAGTCATATTGAATGAATTGGGAAACTTTCCACTTCTTGTATTATCTGAAACTGTTTAAATAATATTGATAATAATAGTATTAATAATTTAAACATTAAATTATTCAAAACACGGGGGCCCATGGACCACTACTCATTTCTATAACCATTTTTTTATACCTAGCAGTGGTTTCATTGCCCTGGATCATCTATTCTTCTTCATCTGCTCTGCCCTGGAAATATAGTTGTGACCTGGGCAATAGGTTTTCTCTGTGCAGAACTGCTCAGTGCACAGATAGGGAGTCACATCTACCAACTTAGCTTCATTAATAGAAGCCTGTCAGGCCAGAGAGGTATACAGTATAGCCTTGCCTCCCATGGGACTTACTTTTAGGTGGTTTGGATATTGTCTTTATTAAGCATTAATCATCTCAGTGTTCCTATGAAACTTCCTAGCAGGTCTGCTATATTGTTTCTAGTTTAGGGGCAGAGATCATTGATAACAGAAGTAACCTCTGATATCAGTTTGGAATAGGTAGTCTTTGTTTAAAAAAACTTGAGGAAGTCAATAAATGTAATTCACCACATCAATAGACTTAAAGAACCACATGATCATCTCAAAAGATGCAGAAAAGGCATTTGACAAAATATAACACTCCTTCATGTTCAAAACACTAGAAAAATTAGGGATAACAGGAACATATCTCAAAATTGTAAAAGCTATTTATGCTAAGCCCCAGGTCAGCATCATTCTAAATGGAGAAAAATTGAAAGCATTCCCTCTAAGAACTGGAACAAGATAGGGATGCCCTCTTTCATCATTTCTATTGAAACACCAGCCAGAGCAATTAGATGAAAGAAATTAAAGGGATACAGATAGGAAAAGAAGAACTCAAATTAGCACTATTTGCCAATGATATGATTCTATACCTGGAAGACCCAAAAAATTCCACCAGAAAACTTTTAGAACTAGTAAATGAATTCAGCAAAGTAGCAGGATACAAAACCAACACCAATAAATCAAAGTAATTTCTATATATCAGTGACAAATCCTCTGAAAGGGAAATGAGGAAAACTAACCCATTTATAATAGCCCAAACAAAAGAAAATACTTGGGAATCAACCTAACACAAGAGGTGAAAGACCTCCTCAATGAAAACTACAGAAAGCTAAAGAAAGAAGTTAAAGAAGACCTTAGAAGATGGAAAGATCTCCCTTGTTCTTGGATAGGCAGAATTAATATTATCAAAATGACCATACTACCAAAGCATTATACAGATTTGATGCAATTTAAATCAAAATCCCAATGACATTCCTCATAGAAATAGAAAAAGCAGTCAAGAAATTCATCTGGAAAAATAAGAGACCCAGAATAACTAAAGCAATCCTTAGCAGGAAGAGTAAAGCAGGTGGCATCACTATACCAGACCTTAAATGATACTAAGAGCAAGAGTAACAAAAACAATATGGTATTGTCACCAAAACAGACTGGTAGACCAATAGTACAGAATAGAGGACACAGAGACTAACCCAAATAACTACTGTTATCTTATATTAGATAAAGGTGCCAAAAACATATACTGGAGAAAAGATAGCCTCTTCAACAATTGGTGCTGGGAAAACTGGAAACCCATATGCAGCAAAATGAAATTAAACCCCTATCTCTCACCATGCACAAAACTCAACTCAAAGTGGATCAAGGACCTAGGAATTAAACCATAGACCCTGTGTTTAATAGAAAATAAAAGTAGGCTCAAATCTCCATCATATTGGAGTAGGGCCCAACTTCCTTAATAAGACTCCTATAGCACAAGAATTAAAATCAAGAATTAATAAATGGGATGGATTCAAACTAAAAAGCTTCTTCTCAGCAAAAGAAACAATCATTGAATAGAGAGCCTACAGCTTGGGAGAAAATTTTTACCCCTCATGCATCAGATAGGGCACTAATCTCTAGGGTATATAAAGAACTCAAAAAGTGAAGCACCAAAACAAAAAAACCAAAAAAACAAATAACCCAGTCAATAAATGGGCCAAGGACATGAACAGACATTTCTCAGAAGAGGACATATAATCAACAAATATATGAAAAAATGTTCAACATCTCGAGCAATTAGAGAAATTCAAATAAAAACTAATCTAAGATTTCATCTCACTCCAGTCAGAATGGCAGCTATTAAGAATACAAACAACAATAAGTGTTGGCGAGGATGTGGGGGAAAAGACACACTCATACATTGCTGGTGGGATTGCAAAATGGTGCAGCCAATCTGGAAAGCAGTATGGAGATTCCTCAGAACACTTGGAATGGAATCACCATTTGACCCAGTTATTTCACTCCTCAATGTATACACAAAGGACTTAAAAACAGCATACTGGGGCTGGGGATGTGGCTCAAGCGGTAGCGCGCTCACCTGGCATGCATGCGGCCCGGGTTCAATCCTCAGCACCACATACAAACAAAGACGTTGTGTCCACCAAAAACTAACAAAAATAAATAAATATTAACCCCCCCAAAAAACAACAACAACAAAATAAACAGCATACTGCAGGGACACAGCCATATGAATGTTTATAGCAGCACAGTTCACAATAGCTAAACTGTGGAACCAACCTAGATGTTCTTCAGTGGATGAATGGATAAAGAAAATGTGTATATATAGATAATGGAATATTACTCAGCAATAAAGGAGAATAAAACCATGGCTTTTACAGGTAAATGGATGGAGTTGGAGAATGTAATGCCAAGTGCAGTTGGCCATCCCAAAAAACCAAATGCTGAATGTTTTCTCTGTTATAAGGAGGCTGATTCATAGTGTGATTGGGGGGTGGAGCATGGGAAGATTAGACGAATTCTAGATAGGGCAAAGGGGTGGGAGGGGAAGGAAGGAGGCATGGGGGTAGAAAAGACAGTGGGATGAGATGGACATCATTATCCTAAGTACATGTATGAAGACACAAATGGTGTGAATATACTTTGTATACAACCAGAGATGTGAAAAATTGTGCTCTATATGTATAATATGATGCAATCTGCTGTCATATATAACAAATTATAATTTTTAAAAATGGCAAAAAGCAAACAAAACAACAACAACAAAAAAAAATTTGAAGAGTGTGCTTCTACAATAAACTGTACCAAATTTGGACTAAGCTGTATGTTGATTGCCATAAAACTGAGCAGAGGCCAGGAAGTCCTTCTATGATCATAAGAGAGGTGGAAGCCTAAACCCAGAGAACTGCCCTTTCATCATGAAAGGCCCAACTGCCCCAAATACTGTGTTTTCAATTCCTCAAGGAGCAATTCTCTGCTGAGATGTACCTCTCATCTCAGGATTTCAAACTGATGCTTATCTGAATAAATAAAGATGTCCAAAACCCAGGACAGTAAGTTGTAATTTAAACTTAGTAAACCAAGGGAATTTGCAGTGAATAGAGCTATTTTCTCTAATTGGTTATCTTCAGATCTTAGCTCTTTTATCAGGACTGATTTACCTAAATATAAAAGTAGTGTCTCTTGAATACGTCTACCACTAATTTCTAAATTAAAATACTGTTGAATTCATCTATGCAAATGTTTATTCTTGGAAAATGCTTCAATTAAAAAGTTAGTGTTTTTTTTTGTATAGGGTGTAAACTGATTTCCCACCTTTCCACTTGCAGAAAAACAGATCATCAGTAATATTTCAATATTTAACGACACCTGTGTGAGATGGAGAAGTTTGAAGACAGATGATGCAGAAGAGATGTATTTAGTAAGTTATTGAATGTTACTGGTTTATAGATGCTTGTCCTGTGTGGGAGGTTTAAAGAAATCTTTAAACCTAAAAACTACTTCTGTAGCTTCCATCATCAATAGAAGTAGTTGCACCAAGAAGCAAGAAAACAGCACTTCTCCTGAAAGGCAGAAACCCTTGCTGGATGGTGAGAAAAACCATGTGCTCCTCTGTCCACACGTCCTGGTGTAGATGCTCAGGCAGTGTCTGTCCTTGAAAAGCATCCAGTTGTGTCTGAGCAGGATCTAGATGCATTGCCTGGAGAGTCAGAGGGAACCTTTGAAGCTAGACATGGTTGTGAGTAAGAACCTGAGAAACCATGGGATAAACTGCTACTAGAAGAAATTAGGAAGAAAAAGGACCTTTGGCCTGCGTGCTTGGATACCACTAGAAAGTGTAGGGTCACCATAAAGGGGTGAGCAGAGGAGAAAATTTTCTCCTGAGTTTTACCTGCTAGGTATATCTTAAGTCAGGTTCTGCTTAGTTCAGATTCTTAATTTGATTTCCAGGAAAATATTTTTGGCTCTTGTTTTACCAACAGGCATGCACATGTGTTAGGCATGCACACGAGATATGTGAGGCCAAGAAACAGCAAGTTTCCAGCACTGAGGCTTCAGTGTTGTACATTTTTATTTAAATACTGATGTATAATCCTCATATTGTAAGCACAATATTACAGTATTGCAGCTTTACTGTTTGCTTACTATTACATTTTATGTTTTGAAGAAGCCACAGTTGGGAGGGTGGGAGAGGAAGGAAACTCATGCCTTGATACTCAGGTATCAAGGCCTCCAGAGCCTTTCCATCCAGCAGTTTACCCGGTGAACTTTTTTTATGTTTTAGTTTCGCATTTGGGGCCAGAGATGGTATCAGAAGGAATTTTCTCAGGAAATGATCTTTAATACCACTACCAGCAGCCAAGCTCCTGAGATGTGCCTGGACCTGTATCCAGGTACCAACTACAATGTCAGCCTCTGGGCTTTGTCTTCAGAACTTCCTGTGGTCATCTCCCTGACAACGCAGATAGCAGGTAAATTTTGAATAACAGCATTTGGATTAACCAAGTCACCATAGAGTTGTTGATAGGCCTAGGTAAAGAGGAACACTGTAGTGTACAATGAATCAAAATGCATTCTGCTGTCATATATACTTAATTAAAATAAATAAATAAACAAATTTTAAAAAGGAGGAACACTGTTGCTTTCTTTCATTTTACAGCGAACTGAGACAGAGAGAGAGAGAGAGAGAGAGAGAGGAAGAAGGATATGGACTTGGAGAGAGATGTTAAGCAGCTTGAAACTGTGACCACATGTTTTTATTTCCTAAAAATCTGTTTCAAACAAAATGTTAGTGCGATTTAAATCCAGGTAGTGTATTCATGAGTATTGGTTAAATTATATGGGGAATGTTTAAAATATGTCATACTAAAGATTTCCTGTTACTCTTTCTTAGTAACATATTCAGTTGGAATTCTGCTGCAAGCACCTTAAGAGTAGGTTAGTGTCAGGGGAGAGAGATCAGAAGTGTCACCATAGACACCTAGTAAATTCACTTTCTTTTCATTTTCTCTACTGACTTTAAATCTGTGAATCCTGCTTCCCTGCTGCCAAAGCTATTACTCAGATTATTAGCCCCTTTCTCCCTCTCTCCATTTCTTTCTTTCTTCCTTTCTTTCCTTCTTTGTACTACTGGGGATTGAACATAGGGTCTCACACCTGCCTGGCAAGCTCTCTATCACTGAGCTGCATCCCAAGACTATTTAAAAAAAAAAGGCACTAAGTTGCCTTGTCTGGCTTTGAACTTGGGATCCTCCTACCTCGGTCTCCTGAGTACCAGGCCAAGTATTAGCTTCTTGCTTCTTGTCTCACTGAGAAATTAGAAGTAATCAGGTGAGGACTTTCCAGTTCAAATCTCCCCTTCCTACCTGTCACCATATATTTTGCCTTCCCTCCCGTCTCTGCTCCTATCTAAAGCTGCTATTCCCTCCGCTAGGTGTTGGATTCCATCCGTTCTTGTCTAGTCGTCCCTTCCCTCAGTATAGAAGTATTCCCAGCTCAGCCAGCTATCTCCTTTACTAAAGAAAATAATGAAACAAGTCCACACACTCCCACAGAGCCCATGTTCCCCTCCAACTGTTCTGCCTTCTCAACCTCCCTTTGTATTAAAATTCCCTAAAGGAATATCTGGTTTATGGGCTCTGCATCCTTATCTCCTGTTCTCCTTTCACTCACCCCACTTGGGAGGCATCTGACTTACTGCTTTACAGACAGGGTCTCCATTCAGCCTCCATCTTGCCAGATCCAGTGGGCAATTTTTTTCTCTGATTTTCTCTATGGCATTTGACGCTCCTTCTCAAAACATCTTTCCCCTTGCTTTTGGGTTCTTCTGTTTTACTGGCTGTACCTTCTCAGTCTTCTTTGATAAGCTCATCTGCTTTTATCGATCCCTCTTTGGCTTCCTCCTCTTCCCTTTTCTTCACTGTCTACTCTTCTTAGGTGATCACCGCCAATCTCAGGGCTGTAATGATTCCATGCTGATGATCTCCAAATATGTATTTCTAGTCTCAACCTCTTCTGGGCCCCAAACTTATATATCCACCCATCTTCTACATATACCCTATCGAACACCTAACAGGTAAATCAAACAAGTTTTTGATTTCTCGCCTTTTCCCTTACCCCTAAATCTATTTTCCACCTAGGCTTCTCTACCTGGGTTATTGACATTTACCCAGTTGACTGGTAAGACCAAAAAAAAAAAAAAAAAAAAAGGAGAACTAATTGATTGTATTCTACTCCCAAATTTCTAATCCATTGAAAAACCCTATTGGTTTGCTGTTCAAAATGTATTCTGCATGAAGCCATGTATTCTCTCCTTTGCCTTTGCCACTAGCATCCTGATCCAGCAACAACCAGCTGCAGTTGTTTCCTGTTTTCCTCTTTCACTCTTGCCTGTTCCACTCCACCCCGGACACAGTCTTCATCTTCACCGTACCTTTAAAAAGATTGCTCATCAGCCAGAGCATGCTTTTAAATATAAGTACTAGACTATGTTAGCGCCGCTCAAAACCTTCCAATGAGTTTTCATTAAAGGTAGAATAGAAGCCAAGCTCCTTAACATGGAGCATATGAACTGGCCCCTGCCTACCTCATTGAATTCCTCTCCCCTGCTTTCCTCCTCCCTCATCAAGCACCAGCTCTCTCCCTGGCCTTCTTGATAGTCCCTGAATAGGTCACACTTATTTTGCATCCAGGCTCTTGAATGTTTTCATTTGCTATGTTAGCCCTTTCTGGGACACAATCATGCAGGTATGTTAGTCAAACACCATCACTCTTGCCTTTGTCCATTTTGTGTTGCTAAACCTGGACATCACAGACTAGATCATTTGTAAAAGAATACAGCATTAGTTAGCTTGTGGGTTTGAGTGCTGGTAAATATAAGAGCCTGGGGCCAGCATCTGCTCAGAACTGGTGAGGGCCTTTCTGCTGGGTCTGGACATGAAAGAGCAGCAAGGCAGAGCAGAGTGACCAGGTGGGAGCTTGCTGTTATTTGAAGCCACTCCCTCCAGAGCCCATCAGTCCTTGAATGATTAATCTGTTCGTCAGGGCAGAGCTCTCTTGACCCACTCACCTAAAAGATCCTGCCTCTCAAATACCATTCACATATGATTTTGGGAGTAGGTTTCTAAGACATGAAAATTGGGGGACACATTCAAACCATGGAATTCATGAAGAAGCTCCTGCTTCTTCAGGAATAAGAGAAGCCTCTTCAAAAGTATCCTCTTCAACGTCCACTCTATTATTCTCCATTCATTTACCCTGCTTCCATTTTTTTCAAAGAACTTGTTTTCTGAAAAAAATTTGGTTTGGTTATTTTCTTTCTCTCCTACTAAAATAGCGCTCTTCAAGACAAAGGTTTTGTCTGTGTTTTTTTTTTTTTAATTGAATGCACAGCTTATAAGGACAGTACTAATAGACCACCACAAATACTTTTTTGAACAGTGGCCTCATGATGTTGTGGGTGGGTGGTATTGGTGTTGGGGACCTTCCTGGTCAGTCAATAAATATTTTACACCAAAAAAGAATTCATTACAGTTTGGGCTGGAGGGACAAGTAGTATTCCATCTGGCCATTCCTTCCCAAGGTGACTTATTAAAATGAATAGCTATTTAGTCTCCTACTCTTTTGTTCTTGTCATATTTGGGTAGACTACTTTTCTGATTTGAATTAATATTTCATATTTTTTGAGTAAGAGGTAGGGGCTTCCTCTTGATGAGACACATTTCTTTTTTTTTTTAACAGTAAAGCAGAAGGTTGAGAAACACTCTTTATTTATTTATTTATTTTTTTGTTATTACTATATGGCTATTATCATTTTATTGTGATAAAATAAACACAACATAAAATGTAACATTCAAACCATTTTAAATTCAAAAACAGTAATTATGATCATATTATGCAACTATTATCATTATTATTATTATTTTATTGGTTGTTCAAAACATTATAACACTCTTTAAAGAGAAACACTCTTTAAATCTCAAAGTCTGGGAACATTTAGCAGGAGAACTAGGTGGGGTCTTGATGGCCGCAGGGAGTGTTAGGTGCAGTATAATAATTGATACTACTAATAAGACCTCAAGTTATCAAGGGGTATCCAGGGGTGGCTGAGATTGGAGGCTCTTCTTCACAGGTTTTCTTTGCTTCCTGGGTTCCCAGCCACCTGATGTTGTTCAGCCTTCCTGCATTGATGAGACACATTTCTACCTTGTTTTGTAGACTAAACATAGCTCTCTCACTCAAGCTCCCAGTGTCTGCATTCAAGGCCACCAGGGGACGCTGTTGAGCTGCTCAAGTTCATTGAGACCAGGAGGCTGCTCAAGGTCTTTGAGATTGTGACTGTTTCCTAACTTGGAGAATTTGCCATTTTTAAAAAAAGCATAAAAATTCAAGTTGTTAAGGCTTTATTAAAGAGTTTAAAAGAACCCTCTTTCATTTTATAAAAGGGGCAAGAAAGATCCTCATGTGTTGATGTAAAGAGACACTCCTCCTCCTCACTTAATGTGCATGTGGCTTTATTTCAGTAAAATCATGAACTTTTGAATCTTACCAGAAATGTTAGTTAAGGATTTGGGTTTGGAAATGGACCGGCTGATTTCCCAGAAGAAAAGCGAGTGGAATTTCCCTTCTGTGTATCTTCCATTAAACTCAGTCTTTCAGATGGGAACGGGATGAAAGCAAATGCTTTAAATATATTGCTGATCTCAGAGGAGAGTGAAAGTTCTAGGAATGTTGAGGGACAGAGGCAAGTGTTTCAGTGAGCTGGGAAGAGGGTGCTGGAGAGGGGGTGGGGAGGTGGAGGTTCTGTCCCAGTGTTCCTGGCTGGTTGCTAAAGTGCTGGCTTGGGTGGCCATGGAACTGAGTTCTTGAGAGTATTCCCAGTATTCATATCCCTTTAGGACAGGGTAGAGAACAAACTTTCATCCTTGATATAAACCCCAAAGAGTATGAAGAGCTTTCATGAATTAGTTATACTATTTTCTTGCATAGTCTAAAAGCTTGTAGGCAGATTTTTATTTTCATAAGGAAAGAAAGGTAACTGGAGAGGAAAAAGGGAGGGTGATGTTGGGGCAGGGGTGGAGAGGGAGGAAGAAAACAATGGGATGTGTGTGTAAATGTGTACTACACAAACGTGGTGGTCGCTTGAGGTCAAATGAGTATGTACCTTCAGTACCGGGGCTGGCAGCTTATGTGGGGCCTTTCTCATCTCTAATTGCATTCATAACAAGAAGAAGGGAAAGTGCTTTTCAGATGGTTAGGAAAACACAGGTGTGTCTCAAGCATCATCGGACTGTCACTTTGTCAGCCAGGGTTGCCTTGCTTCTTCCTGCCTCCTCTCTTTCCGCTGGGTGTCCTTGGGGAGGACTGTGCAGGACTGGTTCTCTTGATTTCTTCTGCTCTAGGCTTCCCTTTCGTGGTTGGCTACCCACAAGTCATCTATAGACATCCTTAGGGCCTTGGTGAGATCCCTGTG